GGGTTGCGCTCTGAGCCTGCGGCCTGGCTCCGTCAGCGCCAATCGCAGGTCCTCGGGCGGATTGGCCCCGATCATGGGCGCGAACCCAGTACGCGCGCACTGATTGCCGTCACTCCTGGGGAGTGTGCATACCCAGTCCCTCGCCCCTCCCTGGGTCTGGCACCTGGGGAAGGTCCCCACGCCTCCGTGTCCCCTCAGTGTGGCAGCACCCATTCCTCAACGTCTTCAGACAATTCAAGGTGGACGAGTGGAAGCGGTCCACTAAGGAGGGCGACGTGGCCACAGTGATGGTAAGTGGGCCAGGAGACCTGGCAGCAGGGTGAGTGGGGTCCTCTTCTCTGCCTGGGACACAGCTCCACCACCCGAGCGTCCTGAGGGCTGCGCCTCTCCTGGTGCTCCCTGGCTCTGGTGGGGACACTGACTCCGATATCTTCCTCCAGGACAAGACCCTAAAGTGCACTGTGTATCGTATTCGGGGCTCTGTCTCTGCCAGCAATTACATCCAGCTCCCCAAAACCAGCACCCAGTCCCTGGGGCTGACAGGACGCTACCTGTACTTGCTTTTCCGACCCCTGTCCACCAAGCACTTCGTCATCCACCTGGATTTGTCCACTGAGGTGCTGAGCTTGGGAGTGGGGTCTGGGGTGAGGGCTCTGCACCCCTGGTGCACCCTCTCGTCTCCTTACTGCCACCCTTTGTCCCCGCAGGACCGCCAGGTCATCCGTGTGTCCTTTTCCAGCCTCTTCAAGGAGTTCAAGTCTACAGCCACATGGCTTCAATTCCCCTTTACTTGTGAGGCTGGGACATCCAGGAAAGGTGACACAGAGATGGGGCATGAATAGGACAGGGGCAGTCCAGGAGCGGGAGCCTGAGGGCAGACAGGGAAGTTGGGCCCAGGGGCAGGTGGGGTAGGTGCAGTCAGGCTCCTTCGTGGCCTGGAATGGGGCAGCCTGGGTGGGGGGCACATGGTTCTGGCTACGGGAATGGGTCAGGCCAAGGACAGAGGCACTGTGGTCTGGCTGGTGAGAGGATGGGCACTGCTGACCTTGGTTTGCCTCCTGCAGATCTGGCAGGTGTGGCTCCCCCTGGTGCCCGCTGGACCTGCCTTCAGCTGGACCTGCATGACATCCTCCTTGTATACCTGAACCGTCGCTATAGCCATCTCAAGAGTGTTCGGCTGTGTGCTAGCCTGCTGGTCCGAAGCCTCTACACCAGCGATCTGTGCTTTGACCCAGGTGAGGGCTGCCCCCATGCCCTGTGCCCAGCCTACAGGTGGGCTGCTCCATCCCTCCCCCAGATTCTCTGTCCAGGAGAGGCCTTGGCACTTCATGAAGGTGCCCTGGCCGTGCTGTCTTTGAGCCCCTTGACACTGATGGGGGTAGGTGGTGGCTGGGCAGATGGTCGGGTGATACTCTGCAAGGGCCTAGTGCTGAATCTTGCCTGAGCTGAGAGAGTTTGCTGGATGGGCTTCTCTGGACCTGGAGCAACTCTGTTCTTTGTAGCTGTCACTGTTGCTGAGGCCCGGCGGGCAAAGCTGCCCATCACTCCCATGCCTCGAGAAATGTCATTCCCAGTGCCAAAGGGGGAGAACTGGCACGACCATTACATCCACATCCGGTGAGCAGTTCTGCCCGTCCCAGGGAGGCTGGCAGGGGAGGGCAGGGTGGCCTCTATGCTGATTCTCCCTCCACCCCACTAAGGTTTCCAAGTGGCAGCCCAGCAGTGCCCCCCAGGCTAGTTCAGAGGACCTTTTCCCCTTCTAAGGCAGGTGGGCCTGTGGGGCATGCAGAGCTTGGTGGGAGATGGGGTCCTGGCACTGCCTGGGGTGGTGAACTCAGAGGTGTGGTGCCTGCGGCAGTCCGGGCTAGCCTGGTGGTCATCCCGAGGTCCCAGAGTCATTTGGGAGGCTGCATGTAGGTATCTGGGTGCCTCAAACTCTCGAGCTGGGAGGGGTGCTGGGGCGTGGGTACAGTGGTGGGCTGCAGCTGGCGAGATTGCTTCTCTCACTGCTGCCCTGCCCGGTGCCTTTGGCCATGTCCTTCTCAGGCCTCTGCACTATACTCGTTGGGTTCTGCCCTTCATTGCAGTCTCCTCGAGGCATGTGCCACAGCTTCTCCCTCGCCCAGTGGCCTTCAGCAAGTCCAGACAGGACAGCGTGTCCCCTGTGGTTCAGATGCTTGGTCCCATAGCTGTGAGTGCCTGTGCCATCAGAGATGGGGCTAAGGGATAGGTAGCCCCAAGATCTGATGGACACTGTCCCCCCACAGTCCTGTCAGGCCCCCTTGGGGCTCCTTCCAGAGGATGGCCTGTCTTGTGAGTGCTCAGAAGTCTCCATCATGGGTGGCCCCAGGGGCCATAGACAAGAGCCCTTGGCTGACGTGAAGGCCACTGACAAGCATGCTGCTGGCAGTGGCCTTCAGGTGTCTGTTCGTAACTTGGCTGTGGTGCCTGCTGCCCCAGAGGATGTGGCCAAGCATGAGGTGAGTGCGTGTCTTGAGGAAGGCAGGGGTGAACCAAGTCGTAGAGGGTAGAGGTGGGTGGGGCCTTAATGGGGTATAGGTATGAGACTGTTGAACCTTTGCCTACCACAAGCCATGTATGGGGCAGATGGATCTCTGAGGGTCCCTTCTCATCCAGTTTCCTGGCAGAAAGCAGAGCAGGCAGGAAGCAGCTTTGGGCAAAAATTCCTTTCAAAAAAGAGTAAGGAGGGTCTGTTGCCCAGCTTCTAACTCCCAGCCCCACGTCGTCTGTAGGTGCCTCAGGGGCAGCAGCTGGAGTCACTAGAGGGTCTGGCAGTGTGGCCAGAAATCTAGCTTTCTGACACAGAGCAACCAACAGAAGCCACCCAGTACTAAGCTTCTTGGGACATAGGAACCAACCCAGTTGGGCAGCCCTGGCTGGACCGGGTCTTGCCTTCTGGGGTCTCATAGTGAGTTTGCCTGTTTCAGAGCTTCCTGCCAGATC